AACTTATCCATTTCAGCAGCCTTATGTCACCCTGTTAAATGGAGGTGATATAATTTATTTAACCAATCCCCTATTTTTGTTCTTGTTGTTGTTGTTCATCCTCACCTGAGGATATTTTTCCATTGAGTTTTTAAGCATCTTTTTTTTTTTTTTTTTGTACGTGCCCCTAGCGGGAACCAAACCGGGACTCTTTGGTCCGCAGGCCAATGCTCCAACCGCTGAGCCAAACCGGCCAGGGCTCCATTGAGTTTTTGATAGAATGGGAAGGAGGGAGAAAGATGAGAGAAATATCAATCTGAGGAGACACATCGACTGGTTGCCTCCAGCACCACCCCAGCAAGGGCTAGGGATCAAACCTGCAACCCAGATACATGGCCTTGACCAGGAATCAAACTCGACCTTTCAGTCCACAGGCTGAGGCTCTGACCACTGAGAAAAACTACTCAGGGCACCAATCCCCTATTTTTGAAGGTGCTTTTAAATTAATGTATTTTGATTTTATTTTTATTTATTTTTTTATTTTTTATCCTCACCTGAGGATATTTTTCCATTTTTTGTACAGATAGAATGGGAGGGAGAGAGAGAGAGAGAAACATCGACGTGAAGGGACACATCGAGTGGCTGCCACCCGCACGACCAACCAGGGCCGGGGACAAACTGCAACCGAAGTATGTGCCCTTAGCGGGAACCGAACCCGGGTCTCTCCGGACCGCAGGCCGACGCTCTAACCGCTGAGCCAAACCGGCCAGGGCTGTATTTTGATTTTAAACTGCATATCAATAACTTTAGCCCTGGCCGGCTGTATTTTGATTTTAAACTGCATATCAATAACTTTAGCCCTGGCCGGTTTGGCTCAGCGGTTAGAGCGTCGGCCTGCGGTCCGGAGAGACCCGGGTTCGGTTCCCGCTAAGGGCACATACTTCGGTTGCAGTTTGTCCCCATCCCTGGTTGGTCGTGCGGGTGGCAGCCACTCGATGTGTCCCTTCACGTCGATGTTTCTCTCTCTCTCTCTTCCTCTCTCTCCCTCCCACTCTATCTGAACAAAAAATGTCCTCGGGTGAGGATAAAAAAAAATAATAATAACTTTAGTACTGCACATCATAATAATTTTAAAGAACTTAGTTCACTTAGAAGGATCTCAAAGAAAAAATATAAGTTCTCCAATTCCCAGTTCATTTTTTGGCACATTCTTTTTTTTGTTTTTATTCTAGTTGCTTCTCTGTTTACACTTCTATTATATATTTTTAGATACTATAGTTTTATTTCTTGTTGTATCAACATTAGATGGAGCCTGTCCCCTGCACACACTCTGCATGATGAATAAAGCAGGGCACTGTCATGTCCTCTTCTAGTGTTTATGCTCCTCTGTAATTGCTGTTATAATCGATATGCTTGCTTTTCAGATAGGCCCCACATCTCCTGTTTCTGCATTCTCTCGTTTATTTCCATCTGACAAGACATGTAAGGTCTGAGACAGGCCTCAAGCAGGCAGTGTGTTTGAGCCTAGGGGGCAGAGTTGGTGTTCAGGAGCTGGTATCAGGGACCATCATCCCAAATGAAGAGCCAGGAACAAGGGATAGAGACCCGGATGAGGAGGCCCTCCCTCCCCACCTCTGGACTGAGCCCTAGGCTATCCCTTACCATAAGCTTCAACATTCCCATTGATCCAAATGTCTCTGTCATCGTCCTCAAGTAAGCTCTGTCTTGCTTTCAGTTCTTCATGATTGGTTTAGGGCATTTGCTTTTCTCTCAGTCTCTCTGTCTCGCTCCTTAAAGACCACCTCCAGCTTTAACTATGACCAAGTGCCCATGACTTTCAGGCGTGAAATTCACAGCATTTAGAAACTGGAAAGAGAAAATGGCAAGTGAAAGGGTGGGCACTGTTTTAGAGGCTGTTTACCTGATTTCTGGGTGTATGTGAAAGCTTGCAAAGTACCAGTTCCTCAGTGAGCACATTGTTTATGCGCATGTTCCTGAACATAAATATACACAGTGGTAACGGAGGCGTCACTTTCTTTCAGTCCTGTTCTCCCAGTACTCACTGCCCTACCATTCTTTCTCAGACCATTTGGGTGCTTGGTCTGCCCCTAGCAAATGCACATGATACTTGTGTTCAGCTAAGGGTGCCAAAACTAAGACACCTCCTCAAATGCTTGAAGTAAAACAAAATACTCTTTTGATAAAGCCATGTACTCATAGAATGTTGGAATTGCAAAGATCTTATAGGAAATTACTTCATAATGAGTGCCATTGTGGTTACATGAATTGCTTGTTGGAGATAAACTTCGAACAAAATCACTTACCAGCACGTTTCTCCTGTCAAGGCCTCCAGTTTATTTGTAGAATGGAACTGTTTACCATGCCTGTATGGGATTCTAGCCTGTTTGAATATAATGCAATCATTTCAGAATGAGTTGCTAGAAGTAATTCTACTCTGAAAAATCTAGAGATCCACTGTAAATATATCCTTGTATTTATAGTAAATTTGCAAATAAAAAAGAGTACTTTGAATCCAGTAGGGAAGGTAGGCAAATAACAGTACACCATCACTGCTTTCTTTTTTGTATTAATTGAATGTTCTTCATTTTGTCAGTAGGTGGATCTTATTTTGGTGGTTGTCTTGCTTAAAGTACAAAGAAGTATATTTTGTGCAGGAGAGAAAATAGGTTTGAATTCTGTTTCTAATCTTTATGTTTAAAAAAAAATTTTTTTCTTTATTGATTTTAGAGAGAGGAAGGAAGGAGAGAGATAGAAATGTTGATGAGAGAGAACATGAATTGGCCTCCCCCTGCAGTCCCCCAGTGAGGATCAGGCCCACAACCTGGGCATGTGCCCTGACTGAGAATCGAACTGGTGACGTCTTGGTGCACAGGTCGATGCTCAATCACTGAGCCACACAGTCCAGACTCTAATCTTTATCTTTATGAAAAATATAGCCTAATCAGGAAGCGTGACTGTACTTGTACAGGGGCTTATTCATGGGCTCCGGCTCAAATGAGGCTTGGTTCTCTGCCTTCTCTGTCCTGTGGCCTTTGCCTTTGCCTTTGAAGAGGATCTAAGACTATCAGAGACACTTACTCTGAGGTCATCTAAAAGTATCTTAAATACATAACAAAATTGTTTATTAATAAATCAGGAAGTATTTACTGAGTGCTCAATATGTTTTATCTAGATGCAGTAACAACAGCAAACAACATGAGTTTTGCCTGAAAATAAAATGTTTTTTATGTAATTAGGATTTCATAAAAGTAAGCGTTGCGATGTTGCTTTTGGCTTTTTATTATTGTTAAATAAGCATTAGTTATTTTGTTTTCCTTTGAGAGAAAGAAAAAAATTCGATAAAAAGGAGAATTTGCCTCCCTTTTGATGAAGTAATTCAGTGAACCTTTTATTTATGTATTGTAACCATATGTATTCAGCCAGAAGTTTTCCTTCTCTTTTCTCCTTCATACAACTAAACAGCTTTGGGCAGAAGCATGCAACCTTTTTGCTATTAAGTTTCTCTGAAGTAAGGCCAGAAAGCTTTAAAAATATTTTGACCAAGATAGTTTAGGAGTGTGGTTATGTCTCAATTTGTTCTGACTGGCTTGATTGAATAACATCTTGGATTGTCAAACAAGTGATGTAATGAGTATCTTCTCATTGTACAGGATATTCTTGGTCTGACAAATACATTTCCCACCTAGTATAATAGAGAGATCCCCCAACTGAGGGGCATCTCCCTGCTCAGAAACTGGTCTCCTCGTCTTGTGCTTCTGCTGGGATATGTTAGATTCTTGTCCTTCTCTTTCTTCTGAGGAAGTTTGGACTTGCTACTTCTTACAAATTAATTTGTAAAAACTGGAAATAGTGTCAAACTTACAGAAAAGTTTCAAGTACAGTATAGCTATCTTTTGTGTCTTGAAATATTGGAAACTAGGTTGCCAGCATGGTGCTTCACCATCTTCAAATACAAGCACATTCTACATAACCACAGTGTGTGCATTAACATTAGAAAATTAACCTTGCCATATGGTCACCATCTACCCCTCATAAGACAGGGCTGACAAAAAAGGAAATTTGAGTACTGTATTATGCAATAAATAGTTAACAGCTTAGAGAAGGTCTAAGTATATATCAGAAAAAGATATATATTTGCTATGAACTGAATGACAAATTAAGAGACAGGTGAAGATGATCATGATAATAAGGCTGCCATCCATGTGTTTGCTTAGGAACTCCAGAGTGTGTCTGCATTCACTTTGATGCTGAATATGTAAGCTCTTTGGATGGCTGATCACTTGACCATTGGATAGTGTCAGCCCCGACTTTGCAGTCGGCTGTGGTACCCTTCCTCAGAGTCAGCCACCTTGGTCCTACTGGTCTGCTTCCTGATGTAGTTTGCAGAAGTTTGGTTATTCAGTACCCGTGGAGGTATTTCGGTGCAGCAGAGGGGTGCTTCAGTGCAAGATGCTGACCAGTGGCTGCTGTCCCCTAAGGGTGGTCATGCACAAATGGATGTCTAGCCTTACAGTTCTGTTGCTGAAGAGTAAGGAAACTCACTGTCTGTGATCAAATAGATGCACCTTTCGCTCTCACCTTGTTCCTGAGAAATAGTCCTAAATGAAATTCTTCATATCGTGTTTCTCTGATTCATATTAGAGTGCCATTGTCAAAGTGACATTGTGAAATAGATACACTGAAGAACAGTTTTTCTTAGGAAAAGTAAAAAGACTGACTAATATGGTCAGTTCTTTGAAAGAACTATTGTAGAAAATCTTAGCTTTAAAAACATTTTTCTGATACATTTTTAATGTACATGTTTATGTAAATGATTAATTTTAAGTTTTTTTAACATTTAAAGAGAGTCAAGAAAAAATGTATACATCCCATCACCTTGTCAAAGTGACTTGTGTTTTTTATTGTTTATGTGTCCATTTGTATGACTTTTACAATAAGAATCTTGTTTATATTAAAAATTATTACATATATGGATCCTGATTATGATGTGTGCTCTCAAGGCTCTTGCAGACCAATTTGAAGACAAAACTACATCTGTATTGGACCGTCTGAAGATTTTCTATTGCTGTCAAGTACCACCTCACTGGGCCATTCAGGTATTTTTGTTGTTGTTTGTCATCTGAGGATATGAGATTGCCTGTTGTAGCTCCTAACGCCCCATGTTGGGGTGGAGATTCTAGCCCCCAACCCATAATTCTCCTGTGTTATAGGTGTGGTTCCCCTATTTTGTAAAATTTTTAGTACTGAAGGTGATTTAGACACCTGGTTCAATTTCTTAATTTTACAGTGAAGAAAAATGGAGGCCCACTGCAATTAAGTACACTTTTCCAGGTCACACAGCTGTTCATAAACTAGATCTCTAGTTTCCCGACTTTTAGTCTGGTTTACCTCTTTCCTTATCTCTTCATTACAACCACTGAAAACAGCCAGCTTTTACTGCACACTCAGTATGAGGCCTGCATTTTGTTCTGCATCTCACACACATTCTCTTATTTTATTGCAACAATTTTGTGAGATGTTCCCACTTTACAGGTGAGGAAGCTCTGGCATGTGAGGTGGAGTTAAAGGAACGCCAGCCAGGGGGTTCTAGATGATTTATTAACTGTTATCATTTGAACCAGCTTTACAGTTATAAATGCCAACCCACTGTCCAGTAACCCAGAATCCCCCTTGTGAGATTTCTTAGTCACTTATACTCTTTGAACCTAAGGGATTTATTACACATTGGAATTCTTGTTATCTATTGAAGGAGTCTCAGTAAAACGTAAACACCTAAAAAGCTTTCTTATATAATCTCAAAGGAGTAGCTTCTTCATAAAGAAAGTTTGACAGCTAGAACGTCTGGCATATTGTTACCCACGATCTGGGAACTTTTTGGAGTGCATTGTACTGTGTGGTTTGTGGTTGACGGATGTCTCAGACTCTGAGCTCTTAGGACAAAACATGTCTGTCGAGGTTGTAACTTTTAATGTTTCTGAACAGAAGCATTAGGAAAATTAAATACTTTTCAAATAGAATTTAAGCTAAATGTTTATCTACTTAGAAAGCTGTGGATTTTAGGATTTTTAGATAGTTACATAAACGTACTTTTTCATTAAGAAATTAAATCTTTTTTTTTTTTTGTCATTATAGGAAGTAACCATATTTTTATGTATTATTTTTGAAGATCAGGAAGTAACACCATCGTTTATTGTAAAAAGAGAATTAGTCTTTTCTGTGCTGCTAGCCAGCCGTATGCTGAGATGCCATCGCTTTATTTATTAAGTGAAAAGTGGAAACTACTGAATTGCACGAGCGTTAGGATTTACTCCAGCTCCCACGTGCCATGTTCATTTTTTGAAAATATCCAGTAATATATCCTAAAATAGCCAAGTTTTGCCCTGGCCGGTTTGGCTCAGCGGTTAGAGCGTCGGCCTGCGGTCCTGAGAGACCCGGGTTCGGTTCCCGCTAAGGGCATGTACCTCGGTTGCGGTTTGTCCCCGGCCCTGGTTGGGTCGTGTGGGTGGCAGCCACTCGATGTGTCCCTTTCACATCGATGTTTCTCTCTCTCTCTCTGTTCCTCTCTCTCCCTCCCACTCTACCTGAACAAAAAATGGAAAAATGTCCTCGGGTGAGGATTAAAAAAAATAATAATAAATAAATAAATAAAATAAAATAAAATAGCCAAGTTCTCTTATACTTCATGGAATACAAAAGAATTGGACCATCCTCTTTATTTGTTATGATGATATATTTTAATTTTCAGGTGTATTTCATTTACTTTGGGCCTCCATTTTTCTTCACTGTAAAATTAAGAAATTGAACCAGGTGTCTAAATCACCTTCAGTACTAAAAATTTTACAAAATAGGGGAACCACACTTACATTTTTTCAATCCCAGATTTTCCATATCCATTAGCTTCCTAACTCAATATATATTGAATTTTGAAAGAGTACAAAAGTGTATTTAAGAGAAAACAACACATTTCTGTCTAATTTGAAACCATAACTTACTCAAGAACCTCACCTCCCTTTTTTTTTTAATCCTCACCCGAAGACATTCTTGCATTTTTCTTTAAATAGAGTGGGAGGGAGGGGGGCGGGGAGAAACATTGATGTGAGAGAGACACATTGGCTGCCACCCACACGGCACCAACTGGGGCCGGGGACAAACTGCTATCAAGGTATGTGCCCTTAGCGGGAACTGAACCTGGGACTCTGGTCCGCAGGCCGACACTCAAACTGGCCAGGGCCTCACCTACTTTTTAAACCTTTCTAATATTTTTTCCCCCATTCCTGTTGGATGGACCACTTATAACCCACAATATTTTTATTTTTGAGTATGTTTAACCTTCACTGACTCTACCACTATTTATCCATTTTTATCAGTCAAGAACTGGGAAATTCGATAGCTAAGTCTTTTAGAATGTGGTTAAAATAAATCTAAGTAGACCTGGGTGAGAAGGAGCCAGAAATGCCCTTATGAACAAAGTACATACGAGCTAAAACATAGATTTATGTCATTTATATTGACTGCTTGGAGTTACTATTATTTATTTATCAAATCTATTTCTTTGAGTTCAATTTCCTTTCATTTTTTTGTTTAGTTTGAGATACATGATACATAACATTGTATTAGTTTCAAGTGTACAACATAATGCATTGATATAGCTGTATATTGTTACCACAATAAGTTTAGTTGACATCCATCACCTCACTTATTTTTTTTCTTGTGATGAGAACTTTTAAGCTCTGTTCTCTTAACAACTTTCAAATATGTAATACAGTATTGTTAACTGTAGTCACCATTCTGTACATTACACCCCAGAACTTACTTATCCTATAACTGGAAGTTTGTACCTTTTGACCACCTTCATCCATTTCCCCCAACCCCGATTTCCCACCTCTGGCAGCCATCAGTCTGTTCTCTGTTTCTGTGTGTTTAATTTTTTTAGATTTCACATGTAAATGTAAGGTCATACAGAATTTGTCTTTCTCTGTTTGATTTATTTCATTTAGCATAATGCCCTCAAGGTCCATCCATGTTGTCACAAATGACAGGGTTTCTTTCTTTTGTGTGACTGAATAATATTCCATTAGATATAGATATAGATATAGATATAGATATAGATATAGATATAGATATAGATATCACATTTTCTTTATCCATTTATCCATTGATGCATACTTATGTTGCTTTCATATCTTGGCTATCATAAATAAAGCTGTAATGAACATGGGACTGCAGATATCTGAGACAGTGATTTTGTTTCCTTTGAATAAATACCCAGCAGTGGAATTGCTAGGTCATATGGTAGTTCTATTTTCAATTTTTTGAGAACCCTCCATACTATTTTCCATAGTGGCGGTGCCAGTTTACGTTTCCATCAGCAGTGCACGAGGGTTCCCTTTTCCACATCCTTGCCAACATTTGTTATCTCTCATTTCTTTGATAATAGCCATTTTCAGTAGAGTTTTAAAATTTGATTTATTGGCTTCCACTTTACAAATCAGAGATGGTCATATATAGACTCTCTAGGTAGAAAAGAATTACTGAGTTTGCTTTTTTTATTATTTTTTTTATTTTTTTTTAATCCTCACCCGAGGACATTTTTCCATTTTTTTGTTCAGATAGAGCAGGAGGGAGAGAGAGGAAGAGAGAGAGAAACATCAACGTGAAAGGGACACATTGAGTGGCTGCCACCCACACAACCCAACCAGGGCCGGGGACAAACTACAACCGAGGTACATGCCCTTAGCGGGAACCGAACCCGTGTCTCTCTGGACCGCAGGCCGATGCTCTAACCGCTGTGCCAAACCGGCAAGGGCCTGAGTTTGCTTTTTATGTTCTTCTGAGTTCTTGGGAAAACTGGATATGTTGAGTGTTTTGAACATTTTCTACATTGTTTTCTAATTCTTTACTTTCTGTAAAGTAAAGGTAAGTACTGAATCATTGCAAATTCCTAATTAGTTGAGCTTGAATTAGATAAACTCTGCATTTATTACAATAAGCAGACCCTTAAAATGGCAGACTGGATAAACATGCAAGTGAAATAGGTATCTGTCTTTGCATAAAGAAATGTTCATGATTTTAACTTGATTTTTCTAGCGCCAGCTTGCAAGTTTACTCTTTGAGTTGGGATGTACCAGTTCAGCCCTTCAGATATTTGAGAAGCTGGAAATGTGGGAAGATGTTGTCATTTGCTATGAAAGAGCTGGGCTGCATGGGAAGGTATGTAAAGTAAGAGCCTCTTGCTGGCAAGAGCCCTCGGTCTGAGCACCTTCTTACCTGCTTGTGTTTTTGTTTTTTAAATCCTCACTGGAGGATACTTTTCCTTTTTTTTTTTTTTAGATAGAGTGGGAGCGGGAGAGAGAGAAAGAGAGAGAGAAACATCGACGTGAAAGGGACACATCGAGTGGTTGCCACCCGCACAACCCATCCAGGGCCGGGGACAAACCGCAACCAAGGCACGCGCCCTTAGCGGGAACAGAACCCCGGTCTCTCTGCACCACAGGCTGATGCTCTAATCGCTGAGCCAAACCGGCCAGGGCTCACCTGGTTGTTTTTTAAGCCTACTTTTTCCAACAGTCCACTTACATCTCCTTCTCTACCACCCCCTGTACCTGCCCCAAAATCTTTTTAATGATTTCTGTTGGAGCAGATTATTTTGTGTGTCTTCCTGGGTATATATACATAAAAGAGAAATGCAGGCCAAAGTTGATAATGGTATTTGGTATATAAGAATGAGTGATGAAAACTTAAAGGCACTTCATATTTTGATCTCTTTCCTTTACGGACTCCCCTCCTGTAGGATAGCTTCACAAGGGGGATATTAGGACTCATCTTAATCATCGCTGGGTTGTCTGATGATCAGAGGCTGCGGGCCAGAAGGAAGGTAGTCTAGGAAGGAGAGCAGCTGGCTGGGTCTGGAGAAGAAAATCCGAAGGGAGTGCCGGCAGCCCCGCCTCCTGGGGCGGAGAGTTGTTAAGTGTATAGTGCACTTTTGATTCCACCTTATGTTGGGTCAGGAGGGAAAATGTTGCAATATTTGCATCTGTTGTTAATCTATTGTTTTCCCCCACTTAAAAAAGAATAATTCTGTATCGTGAATATCTATTAAAACTAACACATTGAAATCATATGTTAATTTTGGATTAAAATTTTAAATGACAAAATTTCAATCATAAATTTAGTATGCAAGCAGAGTAAAACCCACAAATTGGGTCATTTATATCTACAGTCAACCTTTCGTCATAACCATAAAAAAGAGAAATAGTGGTACATGTGTATCTGATTCATAAATACCTTCTAAAGTGTGTCAATTTTAGACAAGTAGTAAAAGTTACATTCCTTTCACTAATCACCAATGGCAGTGAAGGTCTTTGAATTGGATTGGCTTAAGGAGAAACTAGTTTGGAAATAATTTCACTGCAGAAGATTATATAATTATAATATTTTCATCCTGGGAGAGAGCTTCACAATGGCCCATTCCAGTTCCCTGTTTTTCCACATAAGGGAAGGAGCCCCTAATGATTTACCTCAGGGTGCAAGGCCAGTCATTGCTCATTAGCTTGACAGGCTCCTAGCACAATGGTTAAAAGCACGGCCTCGAGACCCAGGCTGTCTTGGTTGAAATGCCAGCCTTGACGCATGCTAGCCATGTGATATGGGCAGGTCTCCCCCCTGGCCTCCTCCATTTTCCCATCTAGAGGCCCATAATCTCCGGCCTTCCAGGTTTTCATGTACGTTAAATATATAGAATGGTGCTTTCTGCATGGAGCTGCGTGAGTGTTAGCTGCGATTCTAAGACATATTTGTTTCATGTTTTAACAGCTCTGAGTTGGGAATGTACCTAACACTTGATGGCATCTTCCGGTTGCTGTCACTGCCCGTGCTGTACAAGCCGGCTGTAGCCACAGTCAGCACTGTCGTCTGGACTGAGTCATGGGCATGGTGTCAGTGCTATGTAGGCGGGATGTGATTGCATGTCAGATATCTTCAGAAAGGCCCCACTGTGATTTAGCATTGAAACAAAAAGTTATCGAACGCAGGACAGGAGAGAAACAACGTAGAGAAATGTATATTTGATAACTAGGGAAGTAGACATTTGTTATTGGGAAAATCATCACAATTCCATTTACTTTTTCTTAAAAACAACAACTAAGTGCTTTGTGGGAGCCAGGAAGGGAAGGTACCCCAAAGCAAATGAATCTTGTTCTGTGCAGTTCTGTATATAAAGAAAGGCTGACATTTAAAATGTCAAGCAGTATATTGAACGAAGGCAGGGAAAATTGCCAAATTTATCCGAATAGATTGAAAAAATATTAAAGCAATGAGAAGCTGACGTGATTTATTCAAGCATTATGTCATAATTTAATTGAAAGCATTTTTTCTTTATTAGTTAAGAGTTAGTTCTACAATTGATGGCATCTCAAATTTGATGGAATATAGTATTATGTTTCTTCAGGGACTTAAAAATTTTCTAGGGCCCCTTGTCTGGCACTGAAATAGTACTCAGATGTTTAACACAGGAATGAATGGATGAATGAATATCTTGACACCCCGCCCTCCAGTCTAATGTCGTCCCCATTACGTCATTCAATGTGCTGGTCTTTTACAGTAAACATAAATAATACTGTATATAAAAATACAGTGGTTTTTGAAATAATTAAGCAAATTGGTGAATCACAAATACACAAAGCCTATTTTGAAATATTAAATTTATTTAGTTTTAGAAAGTATGGAAAATAAAGACTTTCTCTAACTGCAGAAGAAATATACATTCCTTTCAGATAATAGATTTGACTGTATCCTCAAAGTAGTTGTACATAGTTTTTATTTTTTATTTGCACGTGACCTTGTAAGAAATGTCTTATAATAATGATAAATTTCCATGTTTCTAATCTAGAAAATATGCATATTTTAATCTTTAGGAATGTATAGTTAGTTACTTTGTCGTGTCTTGTGAGTTACAGTCAGACATTTCTCAAAATCTTGATTTTTAAGGTTGATATTAGCATTTTATTTGCCACATAAAAGACTTCCCTTACCTGCTTTTCTTATGCTATATTTGCAGATCTGTTAAGCCATAGACCCTAAAAAATTTTGCTTCAAGTTGGAAGCAAATGTTTTATTTCTAAGCAGCTGAGATTCTTTAATATTTGGTCATGTGCCAGGAGTTGTTACCACATTTCAACTTAACTAGAAGTTTGAGAAATTTTAATCACTGAATTTAGTGCTTAATGGCATGATTTCTTTTTAAAAGTCAAATTCGGAAAAGTACCTAATTCTGATCATCGTGTTCTGGTGCTCATGTTTGCACCTGCTATTGTAGGGTTTCAGATTTTCTGATTTAGAAACTACCTACGGAATTCTCGTTCTTTAATGACCATTAACAAGATAGCTAAGATTAATTTTGTTTGACCTTGAGGTAGACTTCGTTCTCATCTGTTAGCGTTTAATTTTTTAAAGTTATCTGGCAGTTTCCCCAAGCGTATGGACAACTTCTTATTTTGTTGAGCAAATTTGGTCCCTGATTGAAGGGCAAAGACTGGCCTGGCTGGCATAGGTGGCTGTAAGGGATGGGGTCATGGAGCGGAGAGAGTGCTTGGGACCTCTCCTGTTTCCTCTCGTTTCTAACAAGGTTTACCTGAGATCGTGGTGTTTTTTCTTTCATTAGGCTGCATTTGCAGATCATTGTAACCATGGGCTTTTAAAACATTTTTCTTTAAATTGTAAGTGAATGTTTTTAACATTGAACATGTTTAACAGCTGAGATTCTTTTAACAGTTTTTTTTCCCCTCTTCTTCGAAGATAGTTTCTTTGTGTGATTGAAAAGATTTCCCACGAGTTATTTTCCCACACTTTAGCCAGAGTGATCTTCCTAAAAGACAATCTGATCATGTCATTCCCACACTCTTAAGTAACTTCCCTTTGTCTGCAGGATTACCTCTGAGTTCTTTACCATGAAAGGAAGTCTTTTATGTGGCAAATAACACACACCCCTCGATGATCTGACTCCTGCTACCGTGCTAACTGCATTGTCCCCCACTCTTTTATCTCTGCTTCCCCTCTTTGTACTTGCTCATCCAGGTTGTGCCCAAAGTGTCAGCTGGACAAAACCACTTGTCACCTCTTGATTTTGCAGCATTGCTTCACCTCAGGACCTTTGTACATGCTATTGTCTGTCTGGAACTTGTCCTCCAGCTAACTCCTCCTTATTCTTCAGGTTTCTCTCTGGTGGTTACTTTCTGCTGTGAGTTTTCCCTGATACCTCCCTCCCAGAGTTGGTGGTGCCGTCTTGTGTGCTCCTATGACACCCAGTACTACTTTGATTTCCCATTTGCTGGCTTATCTCACCTACTAAACTGTAAACTGTTTAAGAACCAGACTTGAATCTATGTTGTTTACAGCTGTCTGCCCAACACCTAGCACAGGCCTGGCACGTGGTAAGTACTCAGAAGCATTTGCTGAATGAATGACTAGTAGGTGTTCACTGAATAGTTATTGCACTGAAGCAAATCTCCAAGTAGACACTCCTTATGGACTTCACATGTGGTGAATATACCTCTCCAGCCTCGGCCACATATGTATTCTCTTTCCAAAAACAAATGAGATCTCTCCCCCTCAGTTAAAACTTTTAACTTTAGGAGTAGAAATGGGATACGTTTAATTAAGAACAGAATTTTTATTCTTGCTCAGTAGATGCTAAAGATACTGTGAGATGCTGTTATTACATCGTGCAATTTTTGAGTGCCTCTTATGTACTGTATTCTTTATATAATTATTTTGTCATGTCATGTAATATTTATAACAACTTTCAAAGTATGAGTTATTTTTAGCCTTGGTGCGTTGCAGAGTTTGGAATCTGAGCTCAGGCCTTCCTTTTTTCTGACTCCACACTCTTTCTCCACACCTGCCTTCCATCATGGTTGTTGTTAACCCCTAAAAAATTAGATATTCCATTTGTAAGTCAAAACCTGTTGGGCTCACTCGAATGAGAAAAATAGGCAAAATAACTGAAAATACTCTATAGATTGGTAATACAAATAGGAGATGATCAGCTAATTGGATAACTAGGCCTGTTTTTAATTATTATGTTTTATCTTGGGCCTGGAATATTTATGTTGCCAAGTAGCCCTTGAAAAATCAAGTCCCAGCCTGGCCAGTGTGGCTCAGTAGTTGAGTATCGACCCATTCACCAAGAGGTCGCCAGTTCGATTCCTGGTCAG